GGTGTGTACTACTGTAAGTTGTACTTACAGATTTTGCTTCCTCTTTGGCTTTCATCTTCTGTTCTTTTATCATTTGTTGATACACTTTGTAATTAACATACTGCTTTTTAGGGGCCTATAGAGAAAAACAACAACATTTATTCATTTGAGTATTGTTAAAAAAAAAAAAGAATTATATACACACATATATTTTTGTTAATATTTTGAGTAAAATTTTATTTTTCTATTTTCATTCTAGTTTAGTTTTAGTAATTTTGTTGTATTTTTGTCATTTTTATATTTTAAGTAATAAAAATTTTGATTTTTTTTTTAATGGTATTAGGTTTACAATAATTACCCTGCTGCCAACACATTGCAAGTGTAGGGTCAAGGGGGGTCAAAATGTCTGTGACATTCAAATAAAAGTATGATTAAATGTAAACTTGTCAATAGTTCAACCAACTTTCTCTGCAAGATTCGATTCACCTGCTAGAGCGCCCCTTGTGGCAGTGCCGAGAATGCATACTTGTGCTGTGTTATATATTGCATGCTGAGCCATTTCTGAACACAAAGCACTGCAGAAGGGTTTCTTTGAGTATGTTTTAGGCCCAGCAGTGCTGCATGTGATTAGTGGATGTGTGCTGAACTCACTCTGGCTCCCAGCATGATGGCTCTGTCCTGCTCAAAGACCCTCTGCTGCTGCTTCTGATACCCCGACAGCCCAAACTTGTGAACCTCAAACCGAGCCCGCGGAGGACACACACACACATCATGCCAGTTCATTCAAGAAAAAAAGTGGCTTATCATTTTGCAATTGAGTTTCAGCTGAGGAAGTTACTGACTTGGAACTGTGTACACATGCCTGTTGAACAAATAGCACTCTGAACACGAAACACGAGAGAATCAATGTGATGCGAGAAAATATGCGTTACCTTAATAAACATTAATATACCGTCACAGAACCTCATAAATGACTGATCTGGAATACTCTACATGAGCAGAAACTCCTTGAGGCAAATAATGTTGTGCTGCAACTGAATTCAAGAGTTTGACATTAGCATGTTGCTAAGCTAACAACGAAATCGCAAACAAATTTGAGGTGTGTTTTTATTTGACTTTTATTTTGTTTTCAATTATTTTCCATACTTTCCAGCAGGGGTTCTCAACTCTGGCCTTCATTTTCCACTTTCCTGCAGAGTTTAGCTCCAGCCCTAATCAAAAACACCTGAATAAGCTCAAAGTCTTCAAGATTACTAGAGCCAGAGATGGTCTTATTAAAGGGGTCATATGATGCGATTTCAGGTTTTCCTTTCTCTTTGGAGTGTTACAAGCTATTGGCGCATAAAGAAGATCTGTAAAGTTGCAAAGACTAAAGTCTCAAATCCAAAGAGATATTCTTTATAAAAGTTAAGAGTCAACCACGCCCCCCTAAAACGGCTCGTTCTAACACGCCCCCACATGCCTACATCACAATGTGGAAATATTTGCATAATGCGCCCAAATGTGCAGGCAAAGAAAGAAGGCATGGTTTCAGGAACAGCAGTAGTGTTGATGCAGCCATGTCAGGGAGACGCGGTGTGTGCGAAAGCAAAAGCACTTTATTTGGCCTTCTGGAAGTAGATGCAGTTAGGAATCATTGGTTAAGGTTTATTTACA